ACATCACCCTCACTGCCTCAGGGAGTCCTCAGATTGGCCCCTGCCCTCGGAGACCAAGTCTCCATCACGTCTTAAGCCCTCTCTCTCCCAGAGATTCCACGAACCTGACTCCTGGCTTCAGCTCCTGCACCCCAGCCTCCCCTAATACAGCTCATGTTCTAGAAGCACACAGTGCCTCCTTCCTGCCCTCCTCCCCTGCAACTGCCCAACTCTACCGCCCCTGAGAGCATAAACCACCAAGGAGACCCGGTGGGACAAGGACAGTTCTGTGTGCCCTCTCTAGGCACACACTGAGCCCTCTCTGCAACTGAAGGAACTCCCTGTGCTTTTTCTCAACGTGGATCTTACACTCTCTGCATTTCTACTCCCTAAACCTGCTACTGTCTGACAGGACCCGCCGCTGCCTTCTCTAAGACTGTACAGCCCTCCAGGAGCAGGCCCTGAGCCCCTCAGCACCGGCTTCCCTGCCTGGACTGCCTCCGGGGACCAGGCCCCTCTTCCTTTCCAGGCCAAGCTCTCCACTGTGGGTGTCCCTGAGCCCCTCCTGAACCCGTGCCATCACAGACTCCCCTCGTGTCAAGGCCCATGTCTCCCTCAACCTGATGGTCCCCTCCAGGGCGTGGACACTGTCTGACCATAAAAGGGCAACTTGCCTTTCCTGACCTTCTTCTTCTGACTTGGGTACCTTGGTCTTCTCAGAGTCTCCACTTTGAATGGCACCAGCTTCCCAAGGCTCTGCCAAGCCTCCCTCCTTGGAGACCAAGCCTGGCTCCTGGCAGGGGCTGTGCTCACCCTCCCTAACCAACCCAACTACTTTACAAATTCAGCAATTAGCCAGCCTTCCTCAGCCCCCACCTTACAAACCCAATGCTGGCTTGCTGGGAGGCGAGACCGTCCTACCTATTAAACAGTTAAAATTTAAAGCATTTGGCTATTTTAAGTTGCCTGTATTTATTCTAAATTCTTAGAAGCATCTATTCACCTCAAGAAGATTAATTAACTTTTCAATCATCTCACTGGTTATAACTGTAACTCTCATGCATCTAATAAACTTTCTGTCATTGGGGAAATAAAAGATTGGTTTTATTAGTATACTAGCATTTCACTCAAGTGCAATGCAGTGGGAAGGACAATTTATATTGGTAAAAAAATATAAAGCATTCAATGTCCTTAAAACAATTGCATTTTATTGCTTTCAAATAGAATTAATTATCTGAAAAATATTCAAACTGGAATTGTAGGCTTGTCAACTTGGCCATGAACTGGCAGTAGGACTATGGTGGCCGAGACTCAAGACCTCACGGCATCTCTGTCTGATGGAAGCTTCTGTCTGTCTCAAGTCAGTGGCACCAACAAGGGGCTGGACTGAAAGCTCGCTGCAAACAAGACCCCTTTTTTGCTCATGCTGTATAGCCCCAATGCTTAGAACAGAGCATTCAGTAGACATCACACGGGTTAATTAATAAACACATAAAGAGGATGCCGGGAAGAAACATCCATCGAGCAAACTCCAAAGGACCAGCACCCTCTTTCTCTTCCATGTCTATGAACGTTACCAATCAAAATGCGGCACTCTTCAAGAATGGATCTGCTCTGCATGCTTACTTAGAAAAATGAAACTCTAATCCCAGCTCCGGCACGGCTTGTCTTGGCTTGAATCCCACACCTGTCCGTGATCTGCAGAGCAGGGATGTGGCAATGGGAATCTGGTGGCAGTCCAGGATTATCACCTGCATGGAGGCACCTTGGCTGTCCAGGATGCTTTCACACAGAGACACCGGCATGGATCTGTCTTTCAGGGGCGTCCCGTGCAAGGAGAGATGAGGGCCAGCAGGCAGCATCCCTACCACCCAGAGATCCACACAGAGCTGCCTCACCTGTCTGTATTTTCTAAATATTTTCAAGAAAGATCTTATTTGAGAAAAAGATCAGTGGCTAAAAATAAAGCTAGAAATCCACTGTTGTACATAAACCCAAAGAGGTGCTGAGGGAAGAACCTACCATTTACTGAGTGCTATGTGCTGGGTAATTTTCACACATTATTAATTCCATCTAACCCTCATCACGTCTTGATGAGATAAAGAATAATTATCCCTTTTTAGGGAATTGAAAACTGAGGCTCAGAGAAGGGAAATCTCATAACCAGCAAGAGCCATGACACGATTTCGAATCCGTCAGTTCTGCAAGGCAGCCATCTCTATGTCTCTTTCCGAGTCCCTCCCTTCTTCCCCCTTACATCTGACGCCAGCTGTCAGTCATGTATGGTCATGGGTCATCTCGTTACTATTCAGTGTGAGTGAACCTTCCCTTCGTGAACTTGCTTCATGCTGGTATTCGTTCATTAGAGTCATTTACAGAGCACCTAATAGATGCCTGGGACCAGACAGGGTCCCAAGGGTGCAGAACCTCAAGTCCTGCCTGTATCGTCACGGTTCTCACTGCCTGGTAGAGAGAGAAACAGAAACCAATGAACTGGTTTAAAACTGATGCTATCTGCCAAGAGCAGAGTGGGGACAGGACGTGGGGGGTAGAGGAACAAGAGCTCTCTTCTCACGGTCAGTATTTAATGGTTTCGCTGGGTAGTCCTGTTGCCTCTGACACTATTCATGCTCCCAGGAGAAAAGAGCGGGGTACCACAATGTACCCGTGTCCACTGCGGCAGTCCTGGGTGGAGGCAGCCATTCCATGAGGTAAGACACACTGGGACACGTCAGGTTTCTTCTTTCCATTACCCCTGAATAATAATTCAACTTGAAATACATTTAGACACTTTTAAAAATCTAACTCTGAAAAGAAATTCTATGCCTTGCCTTCCCCCTTAGATGTTTCTGTCCTGGCCAAACCAGAGAGATAATGCTCCCTCACC